CTGAGTTTTTTTGAATAATATGTCACTACACATGATAGAGCGTTACGTGCTGAAAAGTTACGCTTCGTTCTGAAAGTGGTAATGAAGTTTTATTAGAATTCATCAAAAAAACGTATGAAAATAATCGTATGTCAAAATGTGAGCACTTCTCAAAATTTGCTCACATTTTGACTATTTTTGTGAGATCTTCCTCACAATTTTTTGACAAACGTACAAAAAAGTGCCAAAATGTGAGCAAATGTGAGCAATTTTTATATCTCTCTGATAAATACCAAAAATCAACGTCGAGAGATGAAAAAACGAATATAATCAAACAAGTTCTTCAATATTTTAATATTAAATACGCCGAAAATGAATCTAAAGCTGTCAGAAGATATTTTAGTTATATTGCAGTTAAAAATATTCCCGCAGTTACTGGAAAATATCCTGATACAATTGTTCGCAAAGATATGCTTTATTCGCATGATCATACAAATATTATTAATTCAAATAATATTGAACGTTACTACCGTTGCATCGATCATTCTTGTCAAGCACGTTATTTAGTTAAAATTGAGAACAGTTCAGTTTCCGAAGATTTACAAAAGGAACATATACCCGAATGCAGACAATTTAAAAAGTAGTTAGTATAACTAAGTCGTGTACTGAGGCACTGCGTTCCACCATACGCAATACTTGTGAATTTGACACTTTACAAAACCGTTAACGTATATTTTACAACACAAACACAAACACCAACTTAACCTTAAATATTTATAAAGCCGCCAACCACTTCACCTTACTACTGTAAAAATAAACGTTCTCATTTACAAAAGTATTGCAGCGCTTCCCATTGCTGTGCTTCACACAATAGTTCATATTCTTCAGTATCGCTGCTGTCACTCCAATCGTCAGAGTCAAAGTCACTGTCAAAATAAATGTTAGTAAGTTTTGACAAAGCTAATGAAACACGCTTACCGTTTGTATCTATTGCTTGTATAAACTTTCCATTCTTCATTCCTTCATAAACGCTCAAACTAACTTTACCCTTTCTCCCTCGTATCTGATAGAATGTATTTTCACGAGGAACGAAGAACAAATTCTTGAACTCATGACCGTTGTAGTTTGTTATCTCAATAGTTTTCGTCATTTACATCCAAATAAAATATAAAAATAAACTTAAAAATTAATGATATCACCACCCTCACACGTATGAAAACATAGCGCAAAAATAAATTTAGGTGAAGCGGTGAGATCTCAGAAACAATAAGAATTACCGAAAAAGTGACAAAACATCAAAAACAGGGAGGGGGTCTCAATTTTTATTACTTATATTATTTTACAATATTTATATAAATACTCTTTATAATATATTTTACTATAAAATTATACCTCAAATTCAAATATTTAAAATATTATTTACATAATTATCTCAAAATTATATTTTTATATATTATTTTTCATATGTATAAATCCTATAATCTATATCTATGCAAATCTCATCTAAAATTTTTTGAAACAAACCGCTACCATTTTATAATGGTCCATCTTAAATTCATCATAAATTCTGGTACATGTTAGTACCAGAGTCTTCAAATCTCAAACACTCTGGTACCAACATGTACCAGACGCGAGTTTCCAATGCCCTCGTACGATTTTCTATTAAGATCTTCTTGAATGAGAAGGTCTTCATAGAAACTCGTACGAGGGCTTCTCTTTTAAATACTCTGGTACCTGCTGGTATCGGAGTCGACTTTACAGCCCTTTCCCCAATTTTGAAGCTGGGGAAAGTTTTCAAGCAATGAAAGGGAAGCTCTCGCTATGAGGTGAAAATCTAGAATTTTTACCTCATAGCGAGTAATCCTTTGTTAATTGCTTGAAAACTTTCTTCAAATTATCAAAATTTCGAGGAAAGTTTCCTTGCTTCAAAGTAGAGATGGAGCCCTTTGAGCCACTGCATATAGGTCAGTGACTCAAAATACTCCATCTCTACTAGAAATCGCCAAAATTTGGGTCGCAATCTTTGAAATGCGACGCAAGTTTGGGCAATTTCGCGAGGGACTTGCTCCATTTGGTGCATAGATTCACACTCTATGCACCAGATGGAACAATTCTTTCGCTGACAGCGGGAAACTTTGTCTGAATAGTTTAACATTCAGACAAAGTTTCCCGCTGTCAGAGAGGGAATGGAAGGGTAAGAGGTATATATTCATAATGTATACCTCTTACTCTTCCATTCCCTCAAGAAAGTTCAAAAACTTGGGTGCAATCAGAACTGATTGCACCCAAGTTTTTGAACTTTATATAAGGAATTGTTGGCTATGATGTACTGATCATGAATCAGTACATCATAGCCAACAATTCCTTCGCAAACAGTGGGAAACTTTGTCTGAATAGTTTAACATTCAGACAAAATTTCCCGCTGTCAGGGAGGGAATTAGAGGGTGGGAGATATATAGATAGACTATAAATCTCTCACCCTTTAATTCCCTCAAGAAAGTTCAAAAACTTGGGTGCAATCAGTTCTGATTGCACCCAAGTTTTTGAATTTTGTATAAGGAATTGTTGGCTATGATGTGGATAGCCGCTGCCAGACCAAATGAATTAACCGTTGTGAATAACGTTTCTGAATCTTTATTTAAAAAGATAAAATATCACGATTTTGGCTGCGTTAAAAATCAAAGAATTGATGTTTTTGTCAAAAATCTTTTAGAAGAAGTTGCACCCAATTACTTTTATCGTATTAAAAACGATTTACTTCAAACAGGTTTTATTCCTTCAATTAGAATTCGCGAGCCTCGATTGACAGATTATAAAACAAAATTGAAAAGAGAAGTTCAATCACGTTTATACCAAGTATTAAATTTTGTTCAGAATCAAGAAGCCAATTTGAATCCATTAAGATTTTTATTGGAAAATGCTGAAGAAAAACTTTCTCAAATAAATGAGAAGATACAAAATTCAATTACATATTTAAGATCGTTTGAAATTCCAAATGAATTGTTAGATACGTATATGTTAGAAATTAATGAATTTTGTTATAATTCTCCAGATTATATTTTAGAACATTTCGAAGAATTTTTAGAGGATTTCAAAGAAAAGAATAATTTAATAGACTAAAAAATTTATTATTTTTATTTATTGTGAATTTTAAATTGTCACTTTTTAAGTGTTACTCCCTATTGAAAGTGTCACTTTTTGGGTGTCACTTTTTCGGAAATTCTTATATACTCAACTCTTCTAACTTCTTCTTAAGTTCAGCAATGTTGTCCTCATGAAGTTTAATCTTTCTCAAAATTCCTTCTTTATCTAATGGTTGCTTTATCTTTCTAAACTGAACTCTACCATCCTTCATAGTATGAATGTAAAAACCTTCTGGAATAATTCCTGATTTAATGTATTCTACCAAAAACTTTTGTTTCATTGCTTCAGTGACTTTATTTGTCATTTTACTCTAAGGTGAAGCTAGCACAGCAATAATGGATTTCATGACTTTTTAGTATTTCATGCAATCTTAACAGATAGCCTTACAAGTACTTCCAGTGTCCCTAGCTGTCCATCCTTTTTATATAACTCCATGACATTTATAATCTCGCGAAACTTAACAGGTAGCATAACAGATTAAAATCAGATGAGGTTTTGAACCAAAATTTCTAAGCAACGTTGTCAAGGATTTTGAGGAACTAGGGACAGAGTGTGGCAAAGTCCAAGATTTAATTTATCTTCACCTGTTTCATCAACTATCTCATCTAATATGCCAATATTTTATTCATAACTCGTGGCAAACTCACTAACTTTCGTTATGTTCATCTGCATGCTTCATCTGATAGAAAGTATGACTTTCATTAACTCTGTGAGATAATGAAAACTACTAGGGACAGAGACCATGGCAAAGTTTATGACTTTCATTATTTCCAGAACTTAATGAAAACTACTAGGGACAGAGACCATGGCAAAGTTCATGATTTAATTTATTCTCTCACTAACTTCAGCACAAACTCCAACACTAACGACAAAAATAAATGTCCTCACTTCTTAACAAAGTAATATGTGCTTCTTACACCACCATAGCTCAAACGTTTCTTTTCAAACATCGATTGAAACTTATTTTGAGCCATTGGCTTTAGTCTCTTTTTCTTCAAATACGCCAAGAAATCTTCTTCACATCTTTTCACTTCATAGCCTTCTTTAAACTCCTCCTTGTTAAGTTCTATGAAATCCTTTATATCATTCTTTGTTGCAATGGCTTCTTCACGAACGACATCGTGAACTATTTCATCATTGCATTCATGTATGACCTCCTCACTGTTCTCATGAACTATTTCATCACTGTTCTCATGTATGACCTCCTCACTGTTCTCGTGAACTATTTCATCATTGCATTCATGTATGACCTCCTCACTGTTCTCATGAACTATTTCAACACTGTTCTCATGAACGACCTCCTTACTGTCTTTCATAAGCGTTTCAAAGTCTCCTTTACTCATTACTTCAATCTCATGCTGTTCACAATAGTACTTAAACTCACTGTATATGTCTTTGTTGTATGTTATATTGCTTCCCATGTACTCCATGAATTTTTCAAGCACTTCCTCATAATTCACTGTTTCTTTCTTTCCACGACCTTCTAATATCATACTTGCTTCATAAATATAACTTCTTGCAGAACCGTCTCGCTTTCTACTTCTCTTCACAAATTCTCTCATCTTGCCACCAAATACATTTGAACTACATGCAAAGAATTCATTCTCCTTCGCAAATTCTTTATATCTTCTGTAGCACTCTGTACAATTCCATCCGGATACAAACTTTTCATAGAACTCCTCGTAAAACATTTGGTAAGGTGTTTTGTTCATTTCGATGAGTTCTTGTTTAGCCCTGGTGAATGGTATCTTCCTTACATCAAATTCACTTAAATCTTTCCTCATGAAGTACGTCAGTAAGTTTGAATAAAACTCTTCATTAAAGCTTTCAATGAGATTTGAGAAATATTCGTAATTTCCTTTGTATCTGCTGCTTACGTCAATGACAACAAATCTTCTGTCGTCTTTATCAATCTTTACTGAGTTGAAGTTGTTAGATATCATGATGATATTACAAACATTCTCTATCTTTCTTACTGGCTGACACTTCTGATTTAAGTCCAACTGAGTCTCTGTTACTATTGACTTTAGTGCGTCGTGGTTCATGACCTTAGACGTATCGCATGAGCTTAGTTCATTGCATACGATGAGCTTCATGTTCTCAATAGCAGCATTGAATCTACCAACCACATTCTCTATTGCCGTTATATTATTGTTGGCGTACTTGCTAATGAGCTCGCATAGAACATTACTAAGTACATTCTTACCAGTTCCTTGCTTTCCTATTAACAAAAGTACTGTTCCAGTCTTTCCACAAGGATTTTGAACGATGTAGGCGAACCAGTTCAAAACATACTCATAAAGCTCTTCATCCTCATTACATATGACATCGTGAACATGTTTCAAATATCCTTCAATAACGTTCTCATCTACTTCATTCAGTACCTCATACTCATATCCTCTGAAATAGCTGTAAATGTCATCTCTTTCGTCAAAGAATCTCATGCCTGACTTCATAAGATAGTTCTTGTTCTGACCCGCTTCATAAATCATCAGTGCGTTCACATCCTTCTCCTCAATACGTCCTACATAAATACTCTTCATGAGCTTATTGAATTCCTTGCTATCTATTGATACAAGTGTTGTTGTGTCTCGTATTCCATCATAATCTTTCACTAGATATGTCATACGTGCTCCGTCAATAACGACAACACATCTTCTTAAGTCATTTATAACACTAACTATGTCAATACCTTCTTCACTCATGTACTTATTTCTTCTCAAGTCCTTTAGTGTGAAAGTGTCTCTAAGTTCTATTTCAAGCAATTCATTTACACATCCTTTGCAATACTTCTCTATAAAATATTTCTGTCGTTCTTTACTAAGTTTTTTAACAGCTCTGAAGAACCATGTGTTTTGACTCAAACATCCTTCACAACTTCTCTCATTCATTCCTAGTTCTTTCATGTCATTATCTTCAACCTCTATGGTCTCATTGAGTAAGGTCAAAGGGTTCTTAGTCATTGCTGGTCTTATCTGAAACAATGTTTGTGCAACAGGTTTAACTAGTTCAGCAACGTCCTTCCTTAATATGACTAGCTGTTTCCACTCATCTTTGCTAACAGTTCTTTCATAACCACTGACAGTAATGATTTCATTTGCTGACCTTAGACACTTATGTTCTATCATTTGTATTGCTTTTGTGTAAGGCTTTCGTGAGCATAGGTTGTATATGTCATTCCTGCAATGTTCATTCATGCCAATAGTACTAAATCCTTTCTTTGCTGTTGAATGCATAATATCCATTAGTTCCTGTGTTCGTATTGCTGTCTCATAAAATACAACAAGACCTTTGTCATCTATGACGTACTTACCGAAAACATTGCTTATATTCTTTAACCATGAAATAACATCCTCATTCATGCTGTCAAACATGAAGTAAGGTCTTACATACTCTTCACTTATAAGATACTCCACAAAATACTTGTTAAGCTCTATGTCCTCGTGAGCGATTTCATTAGGTTTGATATTAGTTCCTTTTGTCATTGCTGTCATGTACTTCACTCTCATAGTTCCTTTCAATAGCGTAAAAATACTTCATTGTTTCATAACTGCTCTAAATTCTGTTCAAAATTCGTACAACATAACTTTTTAACATTAGTGAAAGAACATGAGCGAAACAACAACATCTAACATTACAGAAGAAGTCAATGACAATGCTGATGAAAACATTACAGAAGGAGCTAGTGAAAATATTGACGAGTTCAGTGAGGAAGAAGATATTGAGGACGTCAATGAGAACGTTAGTGGGGAACAAACTCAATGGGAAACATTGAGAAATCATGAAGATTATGAGATTTGTACGACATATCCTTTTACTATTCGTCGAAAGAAAAACAAACATATTAAGAGTGAATGCTTAAATAATCATGGTTATATTGAGCTTAGTTTAAACAACAAAACACATTTAAAGCATAGAATTATTGCAGAACAGTGGATTGAAAATCCAAACAATTTGAAAGAAATAGACCATATAAATCATGATAGAACGGACAACAGAATCTCAAACCTTCGTTGGTGTTCTAAATCTGAAAACAATAGAAATAAAAGCAAGTATGGCGATATAGTTTATGAGTTCGTTGATGAAATATCTGACGAAGCTGTTGAAATAACAGCTTATGGTAAGCATTCGTTTGAGTTCTACTACTATGTTGAGAATGAGGACGCATTCTATTATTATACAGGTCTTAACTATCGAAAACTTCATATAAACTTTACAAAAACAGGTGCTGCTTATGTTTGTATGATAGATACAGAAAACAAGAGAGTAATCTTATGCATAAACAAATTCAAACGCTTGTACGGCTTCATGTAGGACAAACATTATTTTTCAACACTAACGCCAACACGTAGGACAAACATTCATGACTAACATTACTGTATAACATAAATGATTTGTCATGATTTCATCGTAAATGTTTTGTCATGATTTCATCGTATATGTTTTGTCAAAACTTCTTCGTAAATGTTTTGTCATGATTTCATCGTATATGTTTTGTCATGATTTCATCGTATATGTTTTGTCATGATTTCATCGTATATGTTTTGTCATGATTTCATCGTATATGTTTTGTCATGATTTCATCGTATATGTTTTGTCATGACTTCATCGTAAATGTTTTGTCATGATTTCATCGTATATGTTTTGTCATGATTTCATCGTAAATGTTTTGTCATGACTTCATCGTATATGTTTTGTCATGATTTCATCGTAAATGTTTTGTCAAAACTTCATCGTACATGTTTTGTCATGATTTCATCGTATATGTTTTGTCATGATTTCATCGTAAATGTTTTGTCATGAATTCTTCGTATATGTTTTGTCATGATTTCATCGTAAATGTTTTGTCAAAACTTCATCGTACATGTTTTGTCATGAATTCTTCGTAAATGTTTTGTCATGATTTCATCGTAAATGTTTTGTCAAAACTTCATCGTACATGTTTTGTCATGATTTCATCGTATATGTTTTGTCATGATTTCATCGTATATGTTTTGTCATGACTTCATCGTAAATGTTTTGTCATGAATTCTTCGTATATGTTTTGTCATGATTTCATCGTAAATGTTTTGTCAAAACTTCATCGTACATGTTTTGTCATGATTTCATCGTATATGTTTTGTCATGATTTCATCGTATATGTTTTGTCATGACTTCATCGTAAATGTTTTGTCATGATTTCATCGTAAATGTTTTGTCATGAATTCTTCGTAAATGTTTTGTCATGATTTCATCGTATATGTTTTGTCAAACATGAACGTATATGTTTTGTCAAACATGAACGTATATGTTTTGTCAAAACTTCTTCGTATATGTTTTGTCATGATTTCATCGTATATGCTTTGTCATGACCTCATCGTATATGTTTTGTCATGATTTCTTCATCGTATATGCTTTGTCAAGGTTTCTTCGTAAATGTTTTGTCATGACCTCATCGTAAATGTTTTGTCATGACCTCATCGTAATGAGTGTAAATGATCCAAAAATAATGTTTATGTTAGAATGTTAGATCTAACACCTTTTCTAACATGTTTTCTAACATGACCTCATGGAACTTAAACGTATATGTTTTGTTATGACCTCATGGAACTTAAACGTATATGTTTTGTCATGACCTCATCGTAAATGTTTTGTCATGACCTCATCGTAAATGTTTTGTTATGATTTCATGGAACTTAAACGTATATGTTTTGTCAAAACTTCTTCGTAAATGTTTTGTTATGATTTCATGGAACTTAAACGTAAATGTTTTGTTATGTCCTCATCGTAAATGTTTTGTCATGATTTCATCGTAAATGTTTTGTGAAGAATATAACAACCGCCTGAATTCAGACGGTTGGTTTTTATACAAAATTCACACAGGAAAATTCTTGAGTTTTGGTTGAAAGAATACGGTCAAGCCAAAAGTGGCTCGACCTCAAAACAAACATTTTATGAGTTTACTAAGGCATTTATGAATGAATTCAAAGGTATTTGCATACATCCTGACCTCGTTCATTTTGTTGTTGAATTCAGCAAAAATAATGTTTACGTTATGACTTCATCGTATATGCTTTGTTGAACTTAAACGTAAATGTTTTGTCATGATTTCATCGTATATGTTTTGTCAAGGTTTCATCGTATATGCTTTGTCAAACATGAACGTATATGTTTTGTCATGATTTCTTCGTAAATGTTTTGTCAAGACTTCATCGTAAATGTTTTGTCATGATTTCATCGCAAATGATTTGTCATGATTTCTTCGTTTATGTTTTGTCAAAACTTCTTCGTACATGTTTTGTCATGACTTTTTCATCGTAATGAGCGTAAATCAGACAAAAATATATTTTAGGTGAAGAGGTGAGATCTCACCTCTTTTCTCACCTCTTTTCTCACCTCAGCCGCTAAGCGGCGAGACCCAAAGGGTCTTGAATTTTCATGATTTCTTCATCGTAATGAGTGTATATGTTTTGTCATGATTTCATCGTATATGTTTTGTCGTGATTTCTTCGTATATGTTTTGTCAAAACTTCTTCGTATATGTTTTGTCATGATTTCTTCGTATATGTTTTGTCAAACATGAACGTAAATGTTTTGTCATGACTTCATCGTAATGAGTGTAAATGATTTCATATAATTGCTTACCTCGGAAAACCGAGAGAAGAGATTCCATATGAAAATCGCAAGAATTTGGCTCCTGGTTTGAAATATTATTATGTTCATAGACTTCATCGTTTATGTTTTGTCAAACATGAACGTAAATGTTTTGTCATGACTTCATCGTACATGTTTTGTCATGATTTCATCGTATATGCTTTGTCATGATGATTTCATCGAAACTAAACGTATATGTTTTGTCATGATTTCATCGTACATGTTTTGTCATGATTTCATCGTATATGTTTTGTCAAGATTTCATCGTAATGAGTGTAAATGAACCAAAAATAATGTTTACGTTCATGTTTGACAACACAGCAGGGGAAGGCATTTATGAATTATTTTTGAAGAACTGAAGGTGTCACTACGTCACCATGTGTCACTCGGTTAATGAACTTCTCTGAAAAAATGAGACAACATGACATTTTGACAACACAGCAGGGGAAGGCATTTATGAATTATTTTTGAAGAACTGAAGGTGTCACCAGGTCACCAGGTCACCAGGTAATTTAACTTCTCTGAAAAAATGAGACAACATGACATTTAGACAACAACACAGGAAATAAATGTTTACGTACATGTTTTGTCAAGACCTCATCGTATATGTTTTGTCATGATTTCTTCGTAAATGATTTGTCGAAACTTCTTCATCGTAATGAGCGTAAATGACCCAAAAATAATGTTTAGGGTAGATGGTTAGATCTAACCTCATTTCTACCCTCATTTCTACCCTCAGCCGCTAAGCGGCGAGACCCAAAGGGTCTTGAATTTTCATGATTTCATCGTACATTCTTTGTCATGATTTCATCGAAACTAAACG